TGAAAAGGCAGTCTTATACTTCCTCTTTCTAAAACAGCTTAAATTCTAAATTTTCAAATCAACCTGTCAAACAAATAATTTTGTTTTAAATCTAATTTCTCAGATACACAGAGAACCAACCTAAAAATATTTTTTCCTAATTCATCACCACAGTCATAGGACCCTCCCCTGAAGTCATTCAAACAGATATATCAATGAGCTTGACAAGAAAATAATGAATAAAATGGCAAGTTGTAAAACTTCTCAAAAAGTGGAGAGGTTAAGTGGGAAATGAGTGCACACATGTATACACACACAAACTTTTGAAAGTTGGAATACTGTTAATTTCAAATAATCAATGATCATTGTGAGACTTTTATGCTAGAAGTTCCATTCAGTCAAAAGCGCAATTTGTAAGAACTAATGGTGCCGTGTGTGTCCAAACATACAGCTTGACGCCAATCCAACTGGAAGAGATTTTCACCTACCCTGTTTCCCCGAAAATAAGACAGTGTCTTATATTAATCTTTGCTCCCAAAGATGTGCTAGGTCTTATTTTCAGGGGATGTCTTATTTTTCCACGAAGAAGAATACAGTACACATTTATTGTTGAACAAAAAAAAGGAAATTTATTCCTGTATATGGTATGGTAGTAGTTATCATCACAAACCAGCATAACCAAACTGAATCTTACAGTATCAAGAATTTCTTGTTACTCCTGCCCTGCTTGGCGGCTCTCTGATTAAAAGAGACCTTGCACTTCCTGCCTGCTCCAGCTGTGCTGCAGCCAACAGTGAGCTGCGCAGCGGCGCCCACGGCTACAATCCAGAGTCCAGAGTTATGGTAGCTTTGGGGGGCCTTATTACCGGGGAGGCCTTTTTTGGGGGAGGTCTTATTTTTGGGAGGATGCCTTGTATTTTAGCGAGAGGCAAAACTGTAAGTAGGTCTTATTTTCGGAGGATGTCTTCCTTTTGGGGAAACACGGTCGGTAGCTCTCTACTGACTTCAACATACTTTTGCATATAGATAATCATATGCCACAATACTATTTGTTGAAAAGATTCTTTCTATTCTCATTAAGTGACTATGCCATCATTATCAAAATCAATTTACTTTAGATGTATATGTTTATTTTTGGACTCTTAATTCTATTCCAAAACATTAGCAAGTCAAATCAAACTATATATATATATATATTCTAACCACACCATGTGGGATTTATTTCACACATGCCAAGCTGGTTGAATATTTGAAAATCAATAAAAGCAGTTCACCACATCAACAAGGTATAGAAGGAAAATAATATGATTAAATCATCAGCGTTTCATTCTATTGTGCCTAGGGTTGCAATGGGTCAGAATCAACAACAACTCCAGAAGATGCCAAAAGTCATCTGATAATGTTCGATAACTACACATGATAAATACTCTCAGCAACCTACTATTAGAAGTGAACTTCCTCAACTTCTCAAAGATCAACGACCAAAAATCTACAGCTAAGATTATTTTAGGTTATTTTTAGTGGTGACAAACTAGATGTTTTTGCCAATCACTGAGAAAAAGATACAAATGTTGTCTTTCATCACTTTATGCAGTTCAGCATCATATTGAAAGTCTTACCTAATAAAACAATAAGAAAATAAAAGGAAATAAAATATATAAAAGTTAGCCAGGAAGAAATAAAACTGTTTTCATTTACAGGTTATATGATTATTTAGGTAGCCAATATTGGCTAAACAGCATTGCTTACAAAAAGAGAAAACTAAAGTTTTAGGAATGAGAGCCAATTTTAAAACTTTGCTACCCATCAGGGTTTCACAAAAGGAGGTATGCAGAAACCTGGGGACCTGTGAACATATTCTCAGGTCATCAGCACTTTCTCTACAAGAATTAAAAAATATTTTTTCATTCAAGTAATAATATAAAATAATTAATAAAATGTATTCTTACTTATATATGTCATTGTTGTTAGGTGTCAAGTCCGTTTTGTTCCAAACCATATTGACACTCAATGCAACAGAAGGAAGCACTGCCAATTCCTGAGCCATCCTCACAATTGTTCCTATGCTAGAGACGTGTCTCTATTGTGTCTCCCCGTGGGGCTTCCTCTTTAATGGAAATTGTGTCTTCAAATTCAACGCAAGCAAGCTTTTGTGTATTTTATTTATCATGGCAACTGCAACAAAGGGTTGCATAATAATGAGACTACTTAATTTTAATGTGTTGCTGTGTTAGGCTAGGTAGACTAGAGGAACAAATTCAGTGACACTCAGATATATAGGAAAGTGCTTTATATTAGGAAGTAATTGTATATCAAGAAAACAACCTGGCCCAGTCCAGATAAAGTCCATAAGTCCGGTACTACTCCATAAGTCTGATACTAGTCCATAAATTCCTCTTCAGACTCACACAGCCACACACAATGATGCAGAATGCAGGAAGAACACAAGCTGGTGGGTGCAAAGGCTTGTGGATCCAATGGTGCTGGAAGCATCACAGGCCTCTGGCAGGTCTCTAGCGTGGCTCTGGCAGCTCTCTGA